TTTTTTTAAATAATTTTGAGTTTTGTTTTGTTTCATGTTTTCTTTCACTCTATCTGGGACCTTCTAATGTGTTGGATAACATCTAGTTCTGGTCTCAAAGATTGATGCTCACATGTTCATCAGTCTGTTAGACTAATTAAGTCAAAGTGTCTTCAGACCTCATAACTCTTCTTTCTTCCGCACTTGGAAAGACCAATAGTTGTACCTTAGATGGCCACTCATAAGCTGTTTGTTTTGTTTTGTAAGTAAATGTTTAGATCTAATGGTAAAAAGGCAAAAACAATCCAAATGTTCATCTATTGGAGAATGGATCAATTAAATGTTATATATTCATACAGTACAATGTTATTCAGTAATCAAAAAGAAGAAAGTACTGATATGTGGGTGAAGCTCAAAACAAGGTCATTGAAGCAACATGGATGAAGGTCAGAAACAATCCAGACACCTTAGACTAGCTATTGTATGATTCTATTTACATGAAACCTATAGTGGCTGAAATTAGATAGCCTTTAGCTAGCTGGGGATAAGAAAAGAGACTGACTACCAAGAGAAGCAGTAATGCCTGAGACGGAAGCAGAGACTATGACGTGGAGAGATGGAGCAGCTGAGGACTCTGGAGCCAGAGAGGGAGAGGGGCTGTGTGCTGATGACCAGGGGGCAGGCTTGCAGGGAACATTTTGTTTGGATGATGATGCATGGAGGGGATTGTAACCATGGCAATGAAACGATATATGCTAGGATGAATGTAAAGCTCATGTTCTCCTATGTAAGCTATCGCATCATTCATAATAAAACATTCAAAAAAAAACTAGAAACTGACTGAAAATGGGCATGAAGGATCCATTATATTTGCAAATATCCTAAAAGTAGATTGCAGAGATAATTGCAAGCTTAATTTCCTAAAAAGCATTTGATTGTGCATTCAAATGAGTGTATTTTATGGTATATAAATTACATGTATATAAAAACAGTTTTAATTGTAAACATGTATTACTTAGAATATTAGAATTCTTTCCATATATTTTACAGAATTTTTTCTTCTTAATTGATTATCAAACACTTATAAGCTTTAAGATCCCAGACACTGCACACCAAAGTAGGATATGGAACATTGCGTTTGTGGACTATAATATGCCATTTGACAATGGTGTCCCCTGAGACTATAATCCTGAGCCCTCAGACCCAACAATAGATTATATACTGTTTTATATAATAATTTTAATGTTCTTTTTTGTTCTTTTTATTAAATGGCATAGAATTGGTTCTGACTCATACCGACCCTGTATAAGGTTTCCAAGGGGTTTCTGGTGGGTTTGAACTGCTGATCATTTGGTCTGCAGTCCAATGCTTATCCTACAGTGCCATACCAGGAGTCCCTTTAAATGTGTGTAAAGTTCATATTAAAAAGCTGTCTTGTAAATGTGCTATTCTTTTAACAAATACTTGGTGATTTTATATAAAAGTTAGAATGTATTTATGTTGTAGGAAAAAGCTCATATATCATAGTTATTAAAGATGGTGGCCACTAATCTGTCAGTTTATTGCACTGTGGGGGCTTGCTTGTTGCTGTGATGCTGGAAATGATTTCTCCAGTGTTCTGACTGCCGGCATGGTCACC